TTACAAGGGCATGTAGTGATTGGACAAGGGGGCAATGGCTTTAAACTGAAAGAGGGGAGATTTACATTAGATCTAAGGAAGAAATTTTTCACTCAGAGGGTGGCGAGGCACTGGAACAGGTTGCCCAGAGAAGTCGTGGATGCCCCATCCCTGGAGGTGTTCAAGGCCAGGTTGGATGAGGCCTTGAGCAACCTGGTGTAGTGGAGGGTTTCCCTGCCCATGGCAGGGGTTTGGAGCTAGATGATCCTTAAAGTTCCTTCCAACCCAAACCATTCTATGATTCTATGAGACTTAGACTCTCAATCACCTAAATTTATTGTAAAAATCGAGCAAGAACTCCTACGTTGCTTACCGATTTTTGACATTTCCCTGCCTTCTTTTATACTTAAGGATTGAGAGGAAAAGTTTTCATGACTTTACATGAAAAATACTCACACCTTAGGTGTATCTTCTTTAGCTATTTCTCTGAAATGGTCTATGACTTCAAACTGATATGCCACTTTCTAATGTTAGATAGTGCAGCGATACGTGGAAATAAATTATCAGGTAGAATATCTAGCTAGTTGCAGAAAGTATCTTTCAGAGATCATGATGTTCCCAAGTGTTTTGAGAATGGAACAAATAATAATTTTTATATATTTAATGTATGTATTTAACATACCTGTTCATTATTCACAAGTGTTTCTATATATTTTACAAGTACACTTGAGCTACAGATTGTGAATAAGTGGCCTGTAGCAAGTATTTAGTCACTGTTAAAATTTACTATTTGAACTTTAGGGCTGATCATCCACATTTTGCAGCTCTTAATTCTGTTTCTTGACTGGTTAAGGTAGTCCTCATACATAGTTTTCAGATAAATTTTGTTTCATTACTGAATAAGCTTTATGTCTTAATTGAAGAATCTTGAACACAGGTCAAAAGTTCCCTATTTGCAACCACACAAATTAACTAAATCTTAACAGATGGGTGAACAAATAAGAAAATAAACTAGCTGGACTGAAGCCTTTTGTCTTTGTTTTTAAAAAAAATATATTCAGTATATTGTCTTGGTAAGATGAACTTAATACCCAGAATGCAGAGGATTAGATTTGCTTTATAATGCTGTTCTGGGTAAAACTAATGGTATATTTGGACTAAATAGCCGAAAACCACATTTGGAGTCACCTTCTTGCTTGGCTTCTGGCTTACTGTAAATCATGGACATACTGAATGATCCCTGACCCTGGCTCAACGATGTGTTTGAAAACTTGTTTATTTTAAGGTACGTTACGCTGTTGCATTGCCTGGGCACTAAACACGTGAGCCATTACCTGTGTGTGTCTAGCATCTAGATAGGCTCTATGTGCATGTAAAGATTTTTTTTTTTTGTTTGTTTAATCCATAGGTCAAAATTCAAATGTTAACTTTGCTTGTATACAGCCAGTTGATGTCTTTGGGGAAGGTATTCTTACAAACCTCTTTTACACTTTTTATATATGCATCTCTATTTACTTATGTGTATATATTTGTATATATGTATATTTCTTACTCAAATATATTTATTTGCTGTATTGCTTGTAAATGCATATCACTGCTGCATCATTTTGATTACTCTTGTAAAACCTTGGCATTCAAGAGTTCTTTGAAAATCTTTCCTGCAATTTCCCCCCCCCACCCCCATTTTAAACAGAAACGTAGGCCCAAGTATCTACTTAATTCAGAAGTAAGTGTACTCCAGCTGAGATTTCATGTAGAAAACTCATTTCCCCAGGGCAGATTAGTTACCTAAAGAGGATCCTCTTCCCAGAGATCCACTGAGCGGGCTGGGGATGCCACTCTTGTTCGTCACTGTCACTGGACTGCTTTTACTAGCTGGGAAGAGGTTCTGTGTTGGAGATGTTGGGGATTTGACAGGTTCGGCTGTTTTGGGTCGGGCTGAAAGATTCAGTGGCTGGGCTGCTTCATCCTACAAGAGTTTAATGTAAATAATTATTAGGAAAAGACAAATGAACACATCATTTTGCAAGCAGCAGTTACTTTACACCTCGAAGACAATACCACACTCTGCAGCAATAATAACAAAAGAAGCTAATTATCTGCCTCCTTTAAGATTTAACGAAAGGAAATCTCATTAATTTCTCTGTGTTATGCTTCTATTTACATTAACTATGTGGCTGGATAGTTCTTTTTGCCAAATTAAAATTTGAATTAGCTCACATTACAGCTTAATTTCCTAATGTGTTTTCAGAGATCTAAATTAACCTAGGGCATTTACAAAGAATTATTTAAAATTTCCAGCAGCTCAGTAATGCTTTTGCATTGGTTCTATTTGAAAAGTTCCTGGCACTATAAAAATAAGTTATGTAGCTTATATTTAAATGTATTAGAAACTAAGGAATCAGAAGTACTTCTATGAAAGAATCGTTTGGAAACGCTGACAGTTCTTTGGCCCACATTTAATGCTGCTGCTAACTTATACATTCCGTGCATCTTATTTTGAGTGCATGTTTTGTTTAGTAAAATAATCTATGCTGTTGCCTCATAATAGGAGACGAGAATTTCACTGAATTCAAATTCCTTCATCTACTACAGTAATGAATGTGTACTATATGCATTTCAAAATATATTTTATTTTCTACTATTTAATTTTGTATATTTTACAATTTTTTTATTCAAATGAGTCATGTATTTTTGATAGATTTACGTAAAATCAAGATTTTTTTTCACATAAGTGCTATTCTGCTTCTTGTTTGATACTTCTGTAGTTATTTCTGTATTCTGTAGTTATTTCTACTGTGTTCAACCTTTAGTATATCTGTATGTTTATTTGCATAAAGACAAGAAATATTTTTTAAGGATATGTAAATGTAGTATCAGCACTTTTATATCTTTTGATACTTTTCATATGCAATTATGGAAGAAATTCTCTCTGACATACATCTTGTTTCAGTGCTATAGAAGAATAAGTCCATCTAAGAAATATCTTAACTTTTGGAAGAAGACTCATTCAAGCAATTAATTTCTTTGATCAGGGTAGATATTCACAATGTAACCTTCTTCCCATTCTTTGAGCTTGTTCCTTTTGCTTAATATGTTAAGCAAGGCAGAGCATTTGGAAAATTGTGAACCAGTGATTTTCTGTAATTTAAGAGCCCAGTAAGACAGATCTCTCATTTAAAATATGCCCAAAGCAGAATTATGCTGAATATAAGAGAATATTGTCCATATTTTAAAACACTACACTGATCACTTCAAAGCTTAGAAATATATGTCAGAATACAATAATACACTGCTTTATCTCATCCTTTCCATTCTCCTTACTGTCAAGCGGTGATTTAGCAAAGTACATCTGATCATACACAATGCATTAAACAGGAAAACGTAACAAACAGGTATTTATAATGCCGTCATATCTCCAGTTTTAAACTGTTTCCGTAAAACCTGATAAAATTTTTATTCTTCCTGACCTTGCAGTGTGCACAACTGTCCACACCTGTTCGGAGTCCAAGTGAAAGCAGAAACACAAAGGTATAAGGGACATAGTCCATTCTTGTGTTTTGTGGCCATGTTTACATGCAAGCTGTTTCCTTGCACAGATACAAAGTGGCTTTAATAAATTTCTGTGAGAGTTCAGAGCCCCTTTCAGACGATGAAGTCTGCCAGACTAGGTACTGAGAGCATGTACACATGTGAATCTACATTTCCATGTTCAATTTCTAAATAATTTTCTGCCTAGTACAGATACGATCATGTGAAAAAAAAAACTCTGAACAGTGCCAGAACCTGTTTCTTTGTACTTCACAGACAGCATTCTTATTTCTGCAAGGCAACCAAAAAGCTGGAAAACATTCTGGTCACTGACCTAAAAAAACCTATCTTCACTTTTTGAAAGATCTGACTCCCGTAAAAGATTTCCGTTAGTTCTATAAATAATGTATGTAGTATATACAAACAACTGTTTTAAACCAGGAAAATATAGAGGATTTGTTAAGCAATGCATGACCATCAGAACTGACACGTCTTGTAAAAGTAAAAATTAGCAAAGAAAGCATATAGGTACCAGTTTATTAGAATGCTTTTATACTAATAATTAATTTCTTCATTAGCCGTTGGTATTTGTCCACACGAAGCACTTGTAGTTTAATATTTTCAATGCAACAGTGTGCTTAATAAAAATAAGAATAAAAAGGCTTCTTTTTTATTAACATATATTTCAGTCCATTCAAGTTAAATTACGTAGGGAAACCCCCAAGAATTTGCATGTGGTCAATTCTGTAATAGGAGTCAGCTGGCCACAAAGCTGGAATGGTATTGGCCTCAGTTCAAGGAGATATGTGCTTGAATTTAACCAGGGAAAATTTTACTCATATAGTGAAGGTTTGGTTTGGTGTAGATCCATTTGGCTCACTCACTTATGAAATTACTTTTTCACATTAAAGTAGTCAGTAGTATATTCTCAATACCATAAATCACTGGTGTTAGGTATCACTATACTATGGCAACTTAGCTGAAACAGTTGGGCTTTGCTTTTGGTGGCTTCTGTATTGACCATAACAAACTCTGCATATGTGGTAAATTTCACTGACGGCTCTCAAGCTTGGCGTTGGGTTACGAGAAGTAAAATAGACTAATACACATCTACAGTTAAGTAAGTGAATGCTTCGCTAAATAAATGTTAGATCTGGCCATAATGGAATAGTTTTTTATTTATTAGTACTCTCAGCCTAGCAAAAAAGTGTCATGGAAATTTATCAGCCAGGCAGAAATATCTACTCACCGACACTTTACCATGATGATTGATGATAATGAAAAACCGAATGATATTTTACTCTCATGTCAAAAAATAAATAAAAAAACCCCACCAAACCCTCACCTCAAGTGAGTAAAATCTTCCCAGGCTGATTTGAGACTAAGGACTGTGTGCCTGTAAGGTGTTAGTAGCTAGCAAATACCCACGTTATCTTTCTCTCTCCACAAAGTCACCATATGCCTTCTTTGGATCTATTTGAATAGTTCTGTATTTATAGCGCCATCATTCAGATCGGTGAAACATCTGAATGTTGGTGGTTTTTTACAGTTTGAAGTAAACTGTTTCTCAGCATATCTAGCCTCACGAAATTCAGAACAACCACGGGAGAGCGCGGCAATAAAAGGCAGCCAGTTCCACCCAAAGGTACTAGCTGCACCACAGGTTGCAAGGGGTGCACGATGTTCACTTCAAGCTGCTGGCAAATGCCATGTTGTAGCTGCCTGGTTCCAAGCAAGTGAGAATACGCAGGCACAAGCAGTCAGCAATGGCGCAAAACCAACGAGGAGCAGCCCAGTTGTCAGCAGCTGTGTAAAATCAGCAAAAGTCAAATCAATCTGCAGCGACATAATGTTTTCCCCAGAGTCCTGACTTACATCTTATTTTTATGTAAGGCTTTTTCCAAAATTGTAGAATAAGTACAGCTAGAGATTTGTAAAATAATTAGAAGATCTACAGTCTCTCTGTTGCCCTAACAATATAAGCTAGCACCATATTTTAAGATACTCAAGAGTTTAATTCATGAAACGGACGCCATTTATGCACATTACTAGATTACAAACTGAAATCTTGAAAATCTCACATTTTACTGATGAATCTGTTGTGCCGCCTGTGGTAGGAAGAGGGATGTCTGATATTTTTGGAAGCAAGAAGTGAATGCCTTCTCTTCTCTTCTCTATACTGATAATACAGCACTAAAACTGAACATTCTACTTGAAGAACTTTCATGTGGTTCGGCTTCCAACCGTAAAACAATTACATATATCATTTAATTTCACTGCTCTTTTCACACACTGACTTTTTTCTTTACTGAAAAATACCTTAACTTGAGTTACCGGGCTGGTCCCTCTCTTCTCATTTTTCATCCCAGTGGGTGAGAGTGCCCCTGTCGTATTTGGTGGCTGTGGAGTAGATGGCATTTTGGCTCCAGGAGAAACTTGCATGCTTGCCAGCTGAGCTGCATACAGTTGCTGGAAGACAAGAAGATATACAATGTATTCCTGCAAAATTCCTAAAAAAACAAAGCTGTAAATGTACATAAATTTTATTGCTCTGCTGTTTCTTCTCTTCAAGGAATTATAGCGGTTTATTCAGCAGTTTCTTGTTTGTGGCTTTTTCCTTGTTATTTTCAAAAAACAAAAACAAAACCAAAAAGACTGGAAAACTCCCACACACCAATATCTTTTTTCTTAATTTGACTTTTAGCTGATTTTTTTTTTCCTTCTTGCTAATGATGATCATGATAATGAGCAAAAGGTTACACTGTGCCCAAATATTAAAAATGAAATTGGCAAAATTTTAAGGCTGGTTATGAAAAGAAATTATAAAACCCCGTCAGAAGCAACAACGCTTCACATCTTTCTGTTCTTACCCAGAAATTACCCACCAACCCCAGAACCTCTACTGGGAGCTGACATAGGAATTGTTTGCTACCAAAAGGCAATGCTGCATCTTCTCTAGATAGCAATGAAACTTAAAATAGGCAACAGGGTATGTGTCTATCTCGGTGCACACTGATTGTTATAACTTTTATAAATGCTAATAAGGACTGTAGGCCTTAAAATTCCTGTAAATAGCAATGAAAATACAAAAAACATCCTAATGGAACTTTTCAAAAAGTTTAACTGAAACATAATAAAAGGCTTGCATATTAAAATAAACTGTTCCTACCAACCTGAAGTGTTTACTGAACAAAACCAAATAAGTTTAATTTCCTTCCAGTGACCAAATTTAAACCCTCACCTTGAATCAGCATTAGAAATAATTCTTCTACCATAAACAAGGAAGATCCTAATCCCTCTTCTACATATAAATCTATATAAACTTCGCCTTATTAGTAAGAAGAAAGCCAAGTGGTTTGTATGCAATTTCCAACATTACTATCATTCAGATGGACAAATAAAAAAAATCACAATAATCAAAAGCAGGCCTTTCAGCACATGTAATTAAATGAAAGCTTAATAAAGAATAATTTGCAAGAGCCCAATGTGCTTATGTCATAAGTGTTGCTTTCTTTTGAAGAATTTTTCTAATATAACAAGCCTCCACAGAAATGAAAGTACTGTAAGCTCAGTGACTCAGTGGCTAGACAAATGCGTGAAAGAGGGGCAGAGTCAGAACTCTGGATGACAAATGAAAACTCTGTTTATTTCATGCCACACCTTTTCAATACCACACAGGGGCTACAAAAGGATCACAGATTCAAATTTTGAAATCAATGATGTTTAAATATTTTGGCTAAGGTACTGTATTTTCTTGTGCGGGAAAACTAGAAAAATTCTTATAGAAAAAATTCACAGCTTTTGGTGATGTCCTGAAGAATGAAAACGAAGCAGTGTATACAATAGTAAGTTGAGAGTTTTTTCCCTACTGCTGGGATCTTACCCTTTTTAGCTTATTATTCAGGTCAATCTACGCTTGCTTAACAAGATGCTCTGCTTATATGAGACTAAGCAGCACATTTCACAAACTTCTGAAAGCCTGAACATTCTTAGCTCAGAAATAAGCAGGCATTGTAGTGTGAAAGAGATGATAAAATAAACTTGAATACAATTTAAAGACAAAATCCAAAGATTATAATGGCTTTCTCAGTGTTCTGTACTTTTTATATTAAAATACTTTCCCTATTTTTTTTTTTTTAAGTAGGAACCTATTTAAAATTTACCTCAACTATCTGGGGCAGATTACTTAGATTTTTGCTAAAAGTAGAATAAAACTTTACTACTTAATGTAGTGAGTATTGCATTTTCAAGATCAGGAAAGGAGTTTTATGTAAAAACAAACCCAGATTTATCAACTAAAGTTCAAAAGAACTTCCTTTCCTCTTCTCAGGTAAGCCATCAGGGGAAAAAAGATGGAGTATGAGTTGTTGTTTCTAAAAAATCCAGTCTTAGAGGATAAAAGCCAATAGCCATCGAAGGCAGGCAGCGGTGTGGTGGGTTGGCCCAGACTGGCTGCAGCATCCACACAGCTGCTTTCGGCCTCCGCCTCCTCTACAGGACGGGGGAGAAAATAAGATGGAAAAACTCATGGGTCAAGATAAAGACAGGGAGATCACTTACCAGCTACCATCACGGACACAACAGGCTTGGTTTGGGGAAAATTAATTTAATTTGTTGCCAATTACAGTAGAGTTAGATGGTGAGAAACACAGAAGAATACTCCCCAACCCTGCCACTTTCCCAGGCTCAGCTCCAGTGCTCCATTGCTGACTGCATCTCCCTCCTCTCCAGCCCGGCCGCCGGCAGGGCTGCTCCGCACACTTTTCCCCTCGCTCCTCACTGACTGTGCAGCATTTTGCCCTTTCTGGAGAATATTTTCCCAGAAGCGCCGCCAGCTTGGCTGTCCAGCTCGGAGGCACCCTGTGGTGGTGCCGCTGTGGAACCGGCTAGAATAAGCCGTGACAAGTAAGCAAAGACGTGTTTGTTGTCTCTAAAAGCTGCAGCCCACGTGTAGCTGTGTCCTGACCAGACATCTCCAGATGGAGGTGAAGGGAGAGAGGTGTGGCACTGGTGGGAAGAGGGCTCGCCAGTGGCCTGGCGCCCGGTTCACGGCGGGACTGGCCACTGGAACATCCGTGGCAGGGTCAGGGTCACAGGGACAGCAATGAGAAAAGTGGGCTGTGACAGCGACTATCTAGGAAACCATTTGGTTTTGGAAATGCAAACATTAAAAGCAGAATAAAAATAGAATTATACAACACTCCTCTCCCAGTGTGTTGAGGGCTGTATTGGCTGTACTGCAAGTAGTGTGAGGAAGAAATGTTTCTAAAGGGAGACAGGGAATAAAAGACATTTTGTCATTTATAAATATATACGTGTGTGTGTATAATTCATCACTGGGTTACTCCAAGGTCATAGCACTGGCTTTAGTCTGGCATTTCTATAAATTTGTTTTACACCATAAAAGCAAATGTAAAAAAAAAGTAACAATAATTGGCTTTCTGGTTTGCTCAGACTTTAAACCAAAGCTGCTCCACAAACGAGTGCAATCTTACAAGAATTCACACTAGTGCTATCAACACTGCCGTGTGGACTGGGAGGCTCTGTAACTTCTTTTAAATGCTGGTCTGTACGGGGAGCTAGCCAGTCTGCAAAAATATGTGCACACCCCCATTTCAGGGATAACATGGATATTTTTGCAAATATCACTGTTGTGGCTTAAAATGGCAATTTAGGACCCCACATTGAGATGGTCAGGTTGCGAAGCTTTTATTTGCAAGATTAAGGAGGGGAAAGAAAACTAAACATTGAATGAATGTTGATTGTTGGCTTTTAATGCTCAAAAGCAAAAGTTTCAATGGAATTTTTTCAATTGAAATTCTAACCTACTGAGAACTGACTAAAAAAATTACCTACCACAAACACTGAAACGTATCTTCTTTTCAATGTATGTCTAGCACATAAAGAGAAGAGCGTTTAATAACCCTTATGCCAACCACTGACTCAGAAGGCTCTTGATTACAAATCAGATATTCAAAACCATGGAGTATTCATAATTGTTTTAAGAAGTCTTAAAATGTAGCCTGGGTTTTATCTTTTTAAAGGGTCACTAAGTTAGATTCTTATAATCCAGTTCCTACTTAAATATAAGTAGTACTGATTTTGAGTTACTGAGTGCTTCTTCATAGTAAACAATTTTGAACACCAGCTATCTCAAGGTATGTAAGCAAGGATGTAGTTTCACAGTTTGCAGAACCAGGTTTCTTCTAATGTCATGATCTGACACTGAAGAGTAGGATTTTGAAGTGCCACAAGTTTCACTTAAGGCGATGGCAAAAGAGTCTCACGTTTAGGCATCTATGAACTTACAGACTTATAGACTTAAAACACTTGTTACTGAAACTCCATTCCAGCTATAATCAACTAAAAATCTGAGGGGAATTTATGAAAGTTGGAGGTCACTATGAGTCTGAATTATGTTCCTCTACCTAAAAACAAATTACAGACGAATGGGAAAGCACTGTCAGCACGTGGACAGCACAGCACAAGTAAATACCATTTTTTTTTACCTGGAAACAGCAGAAATTCATACTAAGCCTTTGCTATAGTTTAGAGCTACCATCCAAGAAGAACCAAATAACTACCAAAAATAATAATCCAGGCGTGGTGAGAAGGGTGGTATGTTCTTCTTCAGAAATTGCCTATGGCGTATGATGAATAATTTCCATTTCACTCGTTTTATAAAAAGTATCATCCATGACCAAAAATTTGTCAAAAAAACTATGAATTAATAACAGAGCATATTGACTGATCCAAATGTTAAAACCTTTCTTAATGCCATCTAAGTTTCACAATGCCTTTGTGAGATACACAAGGATAACTGCCTTCTCTGCCAGTGTTCATTCATGCCATGCCAGAAGACAAAGGCCTTAGGCTTACACATCTCTCTCGTGGATTTCAAATTTTTTTCAATGGTTTTCAACTAGTTTTTTCAACTAGCTTTCAATAATCAGAACTCTCTCATTAGCTCAGGTCCCTTTCCCACATGACTTCACATGCAAGTAGGCCTGTGACATTCCTAGACACGTGCTCTGCCGAATGACAGATACTAATACTTGCCTCTTAAGCTGCAGCACCTGAGTCTGAACAAATGAAAAAAGGTGAAGAATTTTGAGAATCAAATGTTACAGAAGGTGAGGAAAATAGAATGGGCCTTAAATGAACACAGTTGAGGGAGATTCGCACTGATGACAACTTGTTAGCTTTGTGGCAGGCTGTTTTACCACCTAACACAGAATTATGATAATCATAACCTTCTTGCCAGTGGCTTGTCAATGACAGGCTGTATGGAAAAAGTTGCAGATAGTCAGCATAGCAGATAAATAAAGTGCAGGTGATGAGGGCTGGCCTAGCACGACAAATTGCAATGGATGTATTTGGAAGATGCCCCACAAAGAAATTCAGTAAAAGGAGGCTTGATTCAAGAAGAAAGAAGAGATCTGTTCTAGAAATATTTACCCTTCTATTTT